GAGTTGAATTCAGCACAAGTTCTGCCAAGCGAGCTTGTTCTGCTAGCTCTGGAGACATCACACGCGGCGGCGCATGTCACCGCCAGCGAACGATTTGAACAGAACGGAGCGTAGCCGACCGAGGCTTGGAAGCTTTGATTGATTAAAGCTTAGATCTTGGATGAGTCCATCCACTTTTCTGCGACTGCCAAGAGGACCCGTCGAGTCTCCTGGGATTTCCACGATGCCTTGTGGAGCTGCCCACGTCAAGATTGCAAGGTTGAGGCTGATTTGTAGATGCTGACAAAATCCTCGGTATCCAGTTAGAGAAATTTAGGCCAACATGAGACCTGGAATCGATGTCATCCACCCGCTAGAATAAACTTAAGTTAAGCTTCATGACGACGACGGTGGCTGGTTTCCGACACTACGTAAGTGGGATGATATAGCGCGCGGTTGAATCCACACTCTCTCTCTGCCTTTTGGTCAGGTCAAATCTTATCAATCCGGCTCGTGAGGGATATAACCGACGGGGGAAATGGCTAAGTCCGAGTGCCAGCGTTTAAGAAAGAGCTTCCTTTCACAGCTCTGCCGACCCAGTTGATGACATGAGAAATCACCCAGCACGTAGTTCCAGGATCTAAAGATGGCAGGTGAAGATGAACCTGTCAGCACTCATAACCGTTCTATCTTAGAATCTCTGAATGAACTTGGCCTCTCGATCCCACATCACCTTCCCGAGGCTGAGCGTTGGGTTCGCATCAAACCCATGTGGCATCTCGGGATACACGTAAAGCTCCGTCCCTTGGCCAAGTCGCCGGGCATACTCCTTATTCTCGTCCCTCAAGATATCGTACTCTCCGACTCCGAGGTGGGTAGGTGGCAATCCGTCCAGGTTTTTGGCTCGAAGAGGCACCGCGTAGATGGGGCAGTTTTCATCGTTCCTCTCCCCTAGAACAGATTAAATGGTGAAGTTAGTTTCAAGCTCTCGTAGCAAGGGATAGGGCAGCCGACGTACACTTTTCCAAGCCGCCCATGTAGATCTTCCACGCTGAATCATTGGATTCCACCGACCACGTGAACCTACCCAGTCTCGGGTCGTCGGCCGCCACCGTGGTTTGGTCGCTCAGGCAAGGATAGCGCAGACACTGGGCGGCCAGAGGAGGATCCAGCTGCCTGTCGCGAGCCATCAGCGCCGCGCCCGCCGCCACCAATCCGCCTGCGCTCACGCCGAAGACGACCAGCCGGGCCGGGTCGACGTGGAACTCTGTCGCGTGTGCCTGTAGCCATACCATGGCCGAGTAGACATCCTCTACCCCAGCCGGGTAAGGGTTCTCGGGCGCAATACGCCACTGGGGCGCGAAGACCTGCGTCGCGCTCTGCTGGGCTATTGTGGCGATGAAGCCTCGGAACACCTCGACGCTGCCCGCCGTCATACCACCGCCGAAGGCAAAAATGACTGCTCGTTCTGGCGGACTCTCGGAGTCGTCACCGAGCAGGTCCTTGGGGACGAAGCGGCGGATTTCCAACGAGGTTCCATCGAGTGACGTCGCCGTGTGCGTGGACTCTTTCATCCCTGATGGCCATGGTAAAGCGTTTCCGACCGTTTTGATGATTTCATTGACTCTCTCTCGAACCTCCAAGGGGCCGGGGACCTGCTCTTGCTCAAGCATTTGCCTTAGGTACCCGTTTTGAACAGAAGATGCGTCTGGGTCGAGGGTGATTTTTGGTTTGTTTGGGTACAGGGTAACAAAAGAGGGGAATGATTTTCTTGGGAGCATTCCGCGAGGGAAAGCACGCGTTGAGTCAGGTGAAGTCTAGGGTAGTTGCCTGCCCCGGGTGTAATGAGTGAGTTCGTGCCTGTTTTCGATGACGAGAAGGCAACTGCGTGACAAAAGAACTGAGACGTCAGATTGAAAAGTGCTTACAAGAGAAAATTGTGTCCAGAATCAATATACTAGTACGCAACGATATAAACTAACTTGAGAATATAAATTAGCCAGCATGGCTTGACTGTTCACCAAATTCACGATTCCGGAGCGGTTTGTATCTGGTTTCACCCTCGCCTGGGATGGAACATTCGATATGGCTTTAGGAAATTTGTAGAAAATCATATTGGGGACTTGAAGATTTTTATGCCAGTGGAAGCTAATTTATGTTTCAGGCCTCAAGTATCACCTCGCGCAAAGTCGCGAACCTTGACTTCTCGGTTCAGAGGCACTGGGCTTGGAGGATGATCCACGAAAGTAGAGACAAAAGGAGAGATACGGCAAGATCCTTTCGCTTGCCCGGCTTCAAATAGCGTTTAATTGTTCGGAGAGATGGATTCTGCTTGCCATAATTGTGCAGGGCACCAATAGTTGGACCTGGGGCATAGGCAAACAGGCATCGGAATGTCCGCCCATGAATCTAGAAGTATTTTAATCTCTTTGAGACAATGCTTTGAATCTATTGCTGATGTACTGATGCAAAACTCGATCCATGGCTGCTATGCCCATTGGAAAAGTTGTTCATTTGGTAGTTGGGCTTGTTCCTATTGACGTTAAAGGCTGGGGACCAGGAACAAGCACCATGTTTGAGCTCGTCTTGTGCAACCGGTAAGTACTAGCGACACTCACACTTAATTTGTTAAATTTTAAATATTCGGCTGTCCCAAGGGGACTTTTGGGCAGTGGGTTTTTTTTCGTCATAACGTGGAGGATGCGGCACTGCTCTGGGCTCCGAAGTGATTGTCAACGTTTGGGTCAGTGCTCTAAACAGGAAAATAGTACACAGGAGACTTCTGATATATAGGCACTGACATGAGATGGGTTTGATTGCTGACACCAGAGACGGGCGTCACTTCGCCTCTGTTCCTATTGTGTTCAGCAGAATTTTCCCCTGAGCACGTATTGAGTCACCTCTGATGTCAATGACCGTCTGATCTCTACTATTCCTCTAGTATATTTTTCGACCGACGTTGATGTCAGTGACTCGTATTGTGGTAGGTATGCTTCGAAGGATCGGCCATAAAGATTCGAAGGCGTCATCTAGGATGTCATAGTCAAGTGACAGGATGGACGTGATTTCATGGGTTAAGCTGCTGGCGGCAAGAAGTAGCAACCGTCCCATCACGAATGAACTCGGTTGGCAATTATTTGTAACAAATGTTGGAGGCATATAGAGATTGGTTAACGGTTTTCCTGAAACGTTGGACGACGGAGGGCTGTGAGGTGTTGAAGCTTGAGGATCAAATTTCGTAACGACGGCATAGGGAGAGGGACGCGTCACAAGCTACTGTCATGGATTTTAGGGTAATCCATGGATTATAGACTTGAAAGCTTGGGAAAACACTGGCAAACGATTAAACAAGGAGTCCACCACACAGGATGCACCTGGAACCTTGTCAGATGGAACATGCCGGTGGCACTGTGAGACTTTAAATAAACAGTGCATCGTTTTTGGTAATCACCGAAATCATGCCACTTATTATCCATAAATGATGCCTCGAAAACAATTCTGTAGAAGGATCGTCTTTGAGATGCTGACCATTGCAGCGTATCTGCCGATACAGAAGTATCGTATGCTTAATACACACGATAGACTCGTGATCTGAAGCTGATATTACAGTCTGCGGAAACGCACGGGTAGCTAATCACAAAAAGTCACAGAGTCTGAACTATATTGTGATTTTTGTGAAGCCACAGGGAAAACCTAGCTGTGATCTGCACATCAGCAGTTATGATGGTTCGCAAGGCCTTGCCCGTCTGAGTATGCCTCGGCACATTGTTTTGACATCCACAGTAAGCCCTATCTCCCCCAAGGAATCAACTATTCTGTGAATGAGATAGTGAGAAGCTAGCGAGAAAGACTCGAATCTGGCAATGAATGCGCTGTCCAATTAAATCCTGCACTCGGACTATAGCACAACTATCATCCCCGAGCCGATCCTTGCTGACAACCAGTAAGCGTGGTGTAATTACGGAGGATGGGACCATCGGTCAGGAGAGATTAAGAGGAGCCGCGTGTACATGCCGGCAGTGATTATCGGTTCATCCGCACGACTAGGTGAGGACAATTTTCAGCTCGGCATATTAACAGCTGGAGGCTAATTTTGCATTGACCATCTTAAGCTACAACACGCTTGGAGGGTGTGGGAAGGAATATGTTCCCCGTCTTTGATTAGACTACTTTCGTGTTGGTTGATGCTGTGACAATTGTTGCTTTTTTTGCTCCCCTTTTCTTTATTTCGTTTGCTTACTGCTCACGTATGATGAGTTTTTTGTTCTGAAAGACTCGACATCGCTCATGAAGCGGATGCCGGGGATAAGCGAGGTTACGGCACGTACGAACCAAGATTAAACTGAGGCTGACATCGGCAGTCGGCAGTTGTTTAGAGGTAAGGGGGCCTGTTTATGGTAAGCAAGACAGAACCCTGAATGAGAAATTCCAAAGTCCGATCATTGCATATTTTCGCTCTCAGTTCCTGTATGGGCAATATGAATTGCATGGTAGCAGGGTCTGCTCCTAGTGTATGAGGGTAGGGGAGGCTTCGGGTCTTGTCGAGTAGGGGATCGTTGCCATTCATGATCTATTAATATCGTTCATCACTTGTCTCGTGTCTGGCCGGGACTTATACTCAGTACATCGGCCGAGCGCTGAGCATGAAACACGGCAGTGGTCACTATGACTTTCCGCCACGGATGTGTACCTGCAGTAATCTACAGCGATGTACCATCGTTCGTCTGACCGCACTTTGCTACGATCCCAGCAATGCGGTCCGTCCGTCTTGTTAGATGCGGAGCCTATCCCCCAATGAAAGATACAAGACCTGAAATAGAAAGATAGAAACTGCGGTTTGAGTCAGGAATGATTGGTCTTGGTGCGAGACAAAAGGTATATAAGCTCTTTCCGCCTCCATCGTCAATGTAACACCAATCCAACCAAGCCAACAAAGATAGCTACTCTTTCCCTTCTCATCTTTCCGGAAACTACATCACCACCCATTACATCGAATCTTTTCGAACTTTCAACTAGCGAAGATGCATTTCACCAACGTTCTCGTTTCCATTTTCGCCGTGGCCTCTGTCACTACAGCCACTCTCTCGCAACGTATGTACGGCGAGCCTCTTCAGGCGCTCGATATCCGCGGCTACGAGGAGGCCCATGAAGACATGCTCGCTGCCCGCGACGAGTTCATGGAGAAGCGCGACCTCTTCCGTCGTGTAAGCCCACCCCTTTCCTCTGCTTGTTCCTCGAAAAGTACTGGTTTACTGACATGACATCAATGCTCAGCTTGGAGGCCAGGCCTTCTGCAGGGGCGACAAGAAGCCCTACTCTTGCGAAGAGGCAGTCCCGGGGCCCGCTAATTGGGCTCAGAAGTGGCGAAAGTGCGGTACTTGTGGAAAGAAGGATAAGCTGGGTGCCAAGTGCAACTGCTAGAGGGAGGACCTTATTGGCTTTTTTACGAACTCTTTGCGATAAGGGGAAATTCACCCATGAGCCTTGCACTCCGGCCCTGGTTAGTTGCTGGTTTAGGACGGCAACTACCGATCCCACCGGAGCCTAGCCAACCAGCTTCTCTCCAATGTAGAGTACTATGTATTTACTAGCATCCTGATATAATAGCCTAAAAATAATTGTAAACTCGGTCAAAGGACCAGTTAGCTTGACACTCTCTCGGTCCCGGTAGGATTTAGTGTGTCGCATTCACTGGTCGTGTGGACACAGATTGCCGTATTTACTGGAGAATGATCCAGGAGCATGTGAAATTCTTAGATGTTTAGGGAATGGTTTTTTTTTTAAAATTAGTTGACTTGAAGATCTTGCGTTTTAATGCTACACTGACCTTAAGCTTGGATGTGTCCGCCTCGTATCGCCCAGGGATACTCGTAGTGTGGAATAAGGAAGCGCAAATTAGCAGCCATCACCAGCTGAGTTAGATTACTTGGTGGGTTGAAGCCTTTTCCTAATTCAAGTGCAGGGTTCGGAGCCGTCTACCATTTCTGAGCCTTCCCTGGTTACACTTCTCACTGCCCCCTTTTTATCGCTATCTGAGAACCGAATATGACACCCAAGTGCTACTGAAAAATATGTGTAGCATCTTTATTGCTCTAAGTAATGAATTTGCAAAATCCCCTCATCTGCCGCCATATTTCTGATCCTGCTCTAGAAGCGAATGAGGTGCGGCGAGACCATCTACAACACTTCACCGAATTATTTGGGTTATCGCCCCAAGTCCACACCCAAGTCGACTAAGATATGTTTCGTCAAACAAACAAAAAGTGTTCCACGGATGATCTAAGGACTGTGGAAAATTACGGCAATGACCGCACCATACGAAGGTTTTTTGGTGCCATTGGTCTGCTGGTATGCCAACCAGAGCTGTCACAAACTTCGCGACATCCTTGGTGTGCGTCCATACGACAGGAACATCACCATCGCCAGGGATTACGGCTTTGTAAGCTGCGAGGTCCAAGATGTTGTATAAGGGATGGAGGTAAGATTCGACGTAGGGCATCCCGAGGTAGTCCATAAAATAACCATTGCGGATGAGACTGTAAGTGAGGTTTGGATGCCGGTCCAACTCCTCGCGAGCTCGCAAGAATTCGCCTCTTGGTGGATATGGCATATCCCTATTGTGCGTACACTGTTGGCATACAAATGGTTATGGGAGAGCCACTCTGAGAAGGGACAATACCGTACTCCTCGGATGCGTTGTAGTCAATGTTGAACTCACTAGGCAAGAATCCGGAAACCACCCCGGAAGCTGCAGCGCCCCGGATCAAATTGATTTGTGACTCCGAGGCACCCGGCCAATGCAGGTTCAAGGTAGATATAACCGTGTCAGCCTGTAGTTGCTTGAGTGTCTCGCTTACTGCTGAGACTACAGAGTAGTCGATCTCAACTGGCAGGGGAAGGCCAGTGGGCACCTCCCGCGCCGTTGCTCCTGGCCGGGGCTGTATACAACAACAATCAGCTTTTTGGAGAAAATGTAACCAGTACATTTGTCTGAGTTTACTTACTTTTCGTGTCAGAATGTGCGCTGTCAAGTGTGGATACCTCAACATCTCCTCCGCAATCGTACGGCGACATCCCCCAGTCCGCCAGCAATAGCAATAACAGTCATAGTGATAGAATAGGCGAAGTAAAGCGAAATGGTTTGGGCTTTTGGTCTTTTCATTCAACCGTGAACTTGGTCGTGCTCGTGCAGAAGAGGAGAGGACCGTTTTGAGCTGTTCGACTTGGAATAGAAAACGTAGTGATCTGCTGACCGTGTTAACCCATCTCGGGATCCGGAGACGGCTTTCCGGAAACTCCCAGTTACACCAAAGGTGATATGAATGTCTCTGCATTATCCGCTTGTGAGGTCTGCATTATCCGCTTGAGGCTAATGAGGTGATGAGAAGGGACAAACTGGGGATGACGGACTTAAGATAGCATGAAACAGGACTTTAGATTCCCTTGGGGCTATTTTGGTACTATTATCAAATACACGGCACTGGAGCGGTGGAGCGCCCTGCCGCCACTCATAGGAAGGTGGCCCTTTAACTAGGGATGCAGAAGAAGTAGGTCCTCGATGTAGCGTATGCGGATGAATCCCTCTTTAACTAGGATAAAACACACCGAGCACTGGGCATCATCGCGAGAATGCGTTACAAGTTTGTGTGTGAGGGTTTTAAGCACCCGGATTTTAGAGGACAGCGAGTTCCATTGTAGGTATAAAATCTAGCTCATGATGAATCCACCATTGACCATGATGTACTCCCCGTTCACCCACTTTGACCTGTCCTCGGTAAGCCAAGCCACAGCCCAAGCGACATCCTCAGGCTCGGCAAAGCTTCCTTCACATGGAGTCTCCTTGCCAAATGCCTCGGTCACTTCGTCAACCTGGTCTCCTAACCCCTGAAGAAAGGTCTCCGTCATGACAGGTCCAGGTGCAATACCATTCACGGTGCAGCCGTACTTTGGCGGTAGCTCCTTTGCCCAGACCTTGATCATGGAGTCCATTGCCCCTTTTGTTGCTGAATATACAAGAAGACCGGGTTGAGGAAAGCGTCCTGTTCCTGATCCTATGCATATAATACGTGATCCCCCCTTAACACCCGACAAAGCTGGCGGAGAAGAAGGCTGATAAGGAGGTAAGTGAGGTAGCACCGCCTTGGTAAGGAGGAACACCCCACGGGCATTCAAGGCGAAGGTATTATCCCACATTGCGGCGGTTGTGGCCCAACTGGGGGCATGAGGCACAATGGCAGCGTTGTTGACAAGGATATGGATGGTTTCAAAGCGAGCCACTGCAGCGACCACGAGCTGTTCTGGGCCCTCAATGGTCGACAGGTCTGCACAGACAGCAATCCACGGGGTAGAGAGCTTATCCCCGACTTCTTTGCATGCTTGCTCTTCAGAAGGCCAGGGATAGTTGAGGACAATGTTTGCACCTCTGCCAGATAGCTCAACCGCTATCGCGGCGCCAATCCCGGCGGATGAACCAGATATCAAGGCGGTCTTTCCTGACAGAGAAAGAGCCATCGTATTGTCCTCAAAGGCAAGTATGAAAGTCTACTGGACCTATGTAAGAGACTCCGAAAGGGGGTGGATGGGTTGTTGTTGGATTAGGTAGGGATGAATGAATACTAGGTTACCTTCTAAGCATAGTATAGCCAAACCTTGCAATCTTTGGCTATCATACCCAGACTCTCTATTGCCTAGCAGAAGCCATTCTTTGGCGACCAGCAGCCTGGTCCGGCCTCTGCAAGTGGTGGGGCGGATCCGGAAAGCCGAGGGATCCAGATAGAGAAGGGGGGCGGACTCCCGGATCAGTGCCACCGGATAAGAATCTTGATGCTAGTTCATGGGTTTGGAATTCTAACCGGGATTGTCTTGGACTAAGGTGTGGATGATAACGCGTCTCCCTTTGTTCAGGATGGGGCGCCAGGCTTTTTCAATGGGTTTCTGTGATGGTCACACTTGGAATGATAGGTTGGAAGCAGGACGTGCAATCGTGCAGGTCAAGATTTGGCTGGACCGAAAAATGGACTAGGCGCTGATTTAGTGAGATAGTGAAGTTGGAAAGAACACTGTATAATGTATGCCATATCATAGAAGCAAACAAGAAGACTACTCTAGATACCTAGCTTTAGACATCCTTTGTTATGAATCTGCATGTGGCCAAGTAAGTTCCATGGGGTAAGCATTTTTCCCACCGCTAAATGAAGCAAGAATAAAGCACACAAATAGTAACGAGAACGGCGCCATTCAGGAGGGTTGCCTGACAAAGAGTAGTTCGTGGTGAGTTAAGAACCCAATCAATGTTCTGTACCTGGAGAAAGTGATATGATGACATTCTTGGAAAACTTCAGCATAGAACTACCAGAAAGATAGAACTGGACTGAATCTGGGATCTGTGATATCCCATCGGAGCAGCTAACGCACGGTCGTCACGTCTACTCTAACAGGGATCTAGACAGGGAGGATGCTCTACTTGAACGTGAAGGTGAGGTACACAACGAACAACAAATGTTTCTGCGAGACATAGAGAAGAAATCTGGAACCAAGGTAAACATTTGGCTACGTAGCCTAAATTCCAACTGGGAAATGAAAAGGCAATGCATAGAATTGATATCAGGCCGTAGGGTGTAACTCAATAGGCTTCTTCATCTCTCAGCGCCTTGAGCCTGAAAACAAAACCAAAGAATGATTGCTAGTATCCACTAGTCATGAACCTGGAAAACAAGCGGGCTATCATAATGCTTCTTCGCGTAGCCGAACCAGTTAGCAATTGCAAGAAGTAGAACACCAAAGAGAACCACTATGGCGTAATCTGGAGATTGATAATTAGCATCTAGGAGGTGGGTAAAACAGAATTGGTTTCGAATTACTCACTCATTGATTGGGGACTAGTAGTCGTGGTAGCAGGAAAGAGGAAGGTAACTGATGTTACGGCGGTAAAGCCTACGGTAACGAGGTTACAGATCCAGCCAATGGCACCTGGCAACTTGAAGGGCCGTTTGGAAGGCAGAGAGCTCTCAGAGCGTCTCTGATGGAGGAGTAGAACTACCGGGCAAGATATCGTGAGTTGTTGAAGGATAGCGGCAATACCAACAATATTGTTGAAGGCTGCTGGTCAATTAGTGTACTGCCTGTCTTGAAGATAAGGTACGCTACACAATCCTGTGGGAACTCAGGAAGGTAAACAAAGTACTTACCGATGGAGCTGGCAAAATACAAAACCCCAATAATGAACATGAGGCACCAGTTGAGAAGCAGTGCCCATACAGGCGTATTCAACTTGAGATGAATGGAGCTTAGTCTATCTGAGAACAGCAGAGCATGATCCCGTCCGAGACTCCAGGTCATCATAGATGCAATATGCGCCGAAGCAATGCTCCCGATTGGCAGTAGGAATATGACGACAGAAGTAAAGACAATAGCGGCAACGTTCGATCCAGTTGCCTGCTCCCAGATGGGCATTAGCGGGAAGCCTGCGGGGTTAGACAGCACGGCGTCAATGTCTGAGATGCAGTAAAGCATCGAAATCAGGAACGTGAAAGCGGTGACGGATGATATAACGATGACTGAAACTAGCGCTCGTGGCACGGCCGCAGCCGGGTTAATAACCTCGTCAACCAGGTGAACCGCGCTGTCCAAGGGGCAGAAGCTCACAACGGGTCCGGCGAGGGATATGAGTACCTCCATGCCTACCGGCCAGCCCGATGTTTGGAAAGATAACTCCCAAACAAACTGTGAGCTCTGTTTCTGCTTTTGCAGAGCGAGACAGGTTACCGTGATGGCGGTGAAACCGGCCAGACTAACAAACACTGTCCACATCAGCATGGGTTGTCATCATGACATTTGGGTTTATGCTTACGGCCAATCGAGTATAACTTGTGGAGCTGGGTGTGTGCGAACATGTTGGCCATTAGGGCAAGTGTGTTGACAGCCTGATAGAAAAAAAAGGCATGCCAGTCTCGGGGAACGAAATCGGGGTTGCTGTTGAAGGCCAGGGCGTTGGCACACATCGAGATGGCTCCGTAACTTGCTGCAGACATGGCAATCCAAGAAACCCAGCTAAGAAATCCACAAACAAAGCTCTGTGTCAAGGCGTTAGCTACAAGATATACGTGGAAGAATATTGTGGACTTGGAGTACTGACCATGCCTCGCCTGACAGAATCAGGTGCCAAGAGAGACGTCCAATGATATTGTCCACCCACGGTTGGGTAGGCAGATACTAGTTCGGCCAGACTGAGGCCGACACACGTATACACCACAGCAACGATGAGGATATCTGTGGCGGTGACCATCGGTCCAAAGCTGAGGGGTATGACCATAGTAGCGGCTGCTACAAGCCAACTGTTGTTTATTGAGAACCCGGCGGCCAGAGTGCTGAAGAATCCCATGTGCTTTCTAAACGTCTGGGGTTCTCCAGGAATACTGGAGGGTATGGCAACTGAAGAGATTGTGGCAGCATCGTTAGATCCTGTTGTTGATTAACTCCCGAAGTACAATGATTTAACACATGGCTAAAGCTGATGGAGGCCTTCTTTACCTGCTACCTTCTCTGATAGGCGACTCTTTGCAGCTTCGAGCTCCATAGTGGGGGTCTGAAATAATGGCGTACGTAGGAAGATGATCACTCGTTGTCAACTTGGCCAAACCTGGTGATCTACGCGATTCCGAGTGTCTTTATATTGTGAAGACAGACAGTGAACCAGCTATCGCAATACTAGTAATGCTGGCATTGTGGACGGGGTATGAGTCCTGGGCCCTGCCTGCTTATCGCGTCCATACCCGCACCTTGGAAACGAGAGTCCATGATCCCGGATAACGAGCAAGGTGCCGGACTGTGGGGCGGAATCAGTCTCAATGTACAGTTTTGGTTTAGAACGAAATAGACTTTATCTTCGGTAGGCCAGGAGGCAGCTAATGACTTGGGGAGCGAGCACGATCTTAAGGAAACGTGACCATCACATAGATATTGGGAAGTAGGATACCATTTGGTTAACTAGCTGTTTTGATACCACCTGGGAAATGGGTACATCTAAGATTACAGACTCTTCTTCCTAATATAGTACTCTGGATACGACTCCTTATACCCCAGGATCCATTTACCATACCAGCCCATAGCGTTCATGAAGAACCTGCTAACAATACGTCCTACCCACTCAGTGGGAGCAGGTAAGCCGAGCGGCGTGTCGGCGGCACGGAGGAAAACCATAAGCTGGAAAAGACTGGGCGTCTGCCCAGCCTTCCTGCAATCGTCGAGGTAGCCAAAAAAGTTTCGAAAGAACTTCTGCTCCCCCTCGTAGTCCTCTGGTGTGAGATTGACATCAATGATCATGGGATCCGTTGTTGATGCATTTTTGAGAGAGTGGTAGATGCCGCTGGGAACGAAGGCAATCTTGGGAGCTTCCGAGTTCATAACTGATATGGTCTTCCACGGAACATTGGTCGCCTTCTGGTAAAGATGGCAAGTCCCGGAGTGAATTCGAAAGTGCTCTGTCTGGTGGATATGATAGTGCAAGGGGGGCACCATGATGGAAGGACGGTCCGCGTTGAAAGGAGGGTGCATGTTTCTTAGGACGTAGTCGGACCCAGAGGGCATGAACTCGAGGGAGGACGCCCCATCTTCATAGATGATGGGATTCTGCTCTGCGCGGTTTGTCCTTGGTGGCAACGATGCCCGGAACATTGAAAACATGATGGGTGATGAAGTTGATAGATCTGCTCAGATGTAGACTACATCATCATTGGTGAATCATATTTCATCCTAATGGTCGTTTTGCCTCCTCGCTCTGCTTGAGTTCGAGCTAAAAGTGGTAACGTATGGGGCGGAATCCGGAATCCGGGATATCCGAGCCAAGGGGGGGTCTCGGTCAAGCCCCGAGGAACTGGGGGCAACTGTTCAACCTGTACGTTGTCCGGCAGGCCCTCCTCGATCCTTATCATGGTCAATCTGAGATATTGAACAGCGTGTCAGGTCCCACTTCCCTTGTTACCGAGGTTCCTGTGCATAATGGTAGGCTTGAAGATTCCCCTCGATACGTAGAATGCGGGGAAGGCAATGGTGTTGAGGTCAAGGATGGGCCTGGAGATAAGCTAGTCAAGTCTTAGCTGAATGTCAGTTTGCATTTGACTGGCCAAGGGAATGTTATTCACCACTAGCTGCCCCATATCCCATATCCTATCAGCGTTACGGGCCTAATCTTTACTCCGCATTATGATATGATGATTCTCGACACCTCCAAGTGTCCATAAACCTGTTCACCATCTAGAGGCATGCCCAACTGTGCTGTGAACGAGAATTGATCGAAATCAAGTTATTGATACTATGGATTATGCACATGCCCAGTTGCTTCCTGCGGTAAGGAACTGAACGATGATCCAGGACTACCCATGTGAAGAGATTTGAGGAGAGCTGATCACTGATTCGTTACATCAGTGCGACTTTTGCTATGTCAAGAAGGTTTGTAGATATGCTTCTGACCATGACGAGAGGCTAAGAATTATCCCTGATGAACAAGTGCGCTGATGCTGTAACATGTGTTTCAGTCGCGCTGCGATCGAAGGGAGCCCTGTGGGAATTGCGTGACGGCCAGGGTCCAATGCCTACGCAACCGTCCTCGCCATGGATCCCAGAACAAGAAGGGGTCTGTATCCCTTTGTGTCTTCGTTTCGCTCTCGGAGTGGGGGTTGGGCTTTGCTGATGAAGTCCCAGTGACCGCATTGATGCCGTTCTCGAGCGCATGTCGCGCCTGGAAGAATCCCTAAGAGAGCCAGGCACAAGGTCGTCCAGGTCTGATCCGTCATTGATCGACCTTAGAGCCTCGCTTGCCCCCTCGGATAAGTCTAATGCCCCATCACACTCGCCCACAGCGGCCCCAGAGCAGGTGGCGACCAGGTCGATAGCCTCTCACGTGGAAGGGCGGCGTGCCCCAGTCCTCGACCAGCAAAAGCAGCTGGAACAATCTCGTAAACGACCGGCCGAGTACGACCTGGACGGACAGCCCCAAACACGTCGCGCACCTTCTCGAGCCAGCGAGCCACGAGATGAGCTTGGCCAGAGTCCGCAGGATAGGATGCTGGCTTCGCTCGATCTTCAACGTTACCTCCTGTCGTCCAAGCGTGAGAGCCGTATAGTCGACGCCGATCGCCAAGCTGTGCTTGAAGCAGCCATTTCAGTGGCCAAGCGAGTCACAGGGGAAGCGGCAGCGGAATCAGATTGCCATTGCCGCACCAATCTTTACGATCCGTCCATGTATCCCACAGCAGAGTTTGTGCATTTCATTCTCTATGGTATTCATGATCTAGTGTTCCTAGTTCCAGCGTTGTTCTTAGTCAAGAGAAACTGACCAGATCTTTGTAGATGTATCAAGGAGTGGTTCAATGTCCTACTTCTTGCACTTCTTCAGCTGTAGTAATCCCTCCTCCATAGAACAAATGGCCTTGAATTTGATCAATTGCTCAGTTCATGGTCAAAAGCGAGCTCAATATTTGATCTGCGTCAATCATATGGCTTATGCCTACCTCACTAGCAGTGAGTCGGAAAGGAGCCCTGCCATGGACTCCGAGCTGCAGCGCTCCAGGAAGAGGTATCGCGATAACGTCAAGACGGCCTTGGACTACCTTGACACCAAGCCGCGACCAGATGTTACGTTGCTCTTTGCTCTACAATGCGCCGTACGTATATTTGATGCCCTACCTGTCTTTTCGCTCTCAATAGCTGATAGATTGTTTCCTTTCCTTCATATAGGCAATGCTCATGCAAGACATCGGAGATATGCGACATTGCTGGAAGTTGAATACCCAATCGTGCCTCATTGGCGCTATGCTTAAAGGGAAACCAGTGGAAGAGATTGGCATTACCACATCAGAAGATCTTGTTACTATGCGACTTGCCTGTATCCGAGCCTACGTATTCGACATGGCTCTCTCTGCCAACATGTATCAATCCGCATGCGTGGCTCCAATGGATATAGACCGCACGGTGCTGGATACTGAAAAGCCAGCTGATGCCATGCTCTGCGTCTTGCTCTCGTTTGCCCAGGTGCAGGAAGTCATTGTTTGGGAGACGAGGAAGTGTGCGGCCCCGGACCAGACGCACCACAGGCCTCAGATGGATACGGAAAAGTTGGCGAGTCTTATGGCTCGTATGAAAGTCATTCGATCACAAGCGGAAGAAGTCAGCCTCCCCTTACTCTCCATTTTCCCTGCTCTTCTCGTCCTGCATTATTCTTACACCGCAGCCTTATGTTACTGACTTTGCGTCACAGTTTCAACACAAGCCTGGATCGGCAGGAGATGACTATTTGCAGTTTGAGTGGCGGTCCCTCGACTTCATTTTCTACTCGGTGATGACAACCATCACGCGGCTGAGCGCCACGGGCGAGAACTCGCACTTACAGCGCCAATGTCTTGAAAATGCAAGAAAGTGTCTCTTCACTTTGAAGGACATGCTAGAGATGCAATCAAATACCGCCAACCCTGTCCGCTACTTGAGTTCCTTGAAATGGTGAGCTCACACTCTGTCTTCCTTCTCCCTGCCCAGTTGTCTTCGCAGCCAAAATCACACCCACAGAATAGCTAACGGAGCCAAGGATTGTACCACTCTTCTCTCTCCGTCCGCTGTATTTTGTCTTCAGCAACATCATTGAGACCTCGGATGCCCTAGATCTAAAGATTCTGCAAGACATTACGCGGGGACTAGGTGACCTCGGCGACTCTGTCAGTTCCATCCGTCAGGTACAGCAACTATGCACCTCATTCCTCGATTTATATACGGATTTTGTCGAGAAAATGTACTCGAGGAGATCCCAAGGAGTTCGACCGCGGGCCTTGCCACATTTGACCAACCAAGGCCGCTTTAATAATGAGCTGCCCACTTCGATCCCACTTGTCCCAGCTTTGTCGGCCGACGCAGTGACGATAGATAGCCCATCGGATCAATTCCAGGATGATCAGATGGGCCTCATCATGTCTTCTGATTTCTCTCAGCAACGGTCACTTGAAATGTCTATCTTTGATAATCAGGTGAATTGGGAACTCTTCTACTCCCAGCAGCAGTTGGACCTTCCGACATGAGTGAGTGGATCATATTCTTTGAGTCTAATCAAGAAATTCTCGGAGCTTCATTAATGGTATCTTAATTTCTGTATCAAGCAGCAATCTTCACCAGCGCCTTTCCGATATTCTTCCCCTGCAGTAGCTCTACGAGGCCTTGGGAGGCATTATCTATGCCCACAGTCTCGCTGATGACAGCCTTAAGGGAGCCGTCGGAGAGCCATTCGCCTACCGATTCGAGGTGTGTCTGCCGGTACGCCCCTCCCAAGGACTCATCAAAGACGCTCATTCCGCGCCAAGTTATCCTCTTGCCAATAATCTGGCCAGTATTCTGGATGCCGTACTGGCTCTCTGGTGGGAGACTGTATTGTGATGCGTAGCCGCATGCAACTAAGAGCAAGAGAAGTCAGTAAGAGAGAGCAAACTGTCAAGGCAGGATGTGTGGGTACTTTACCAATTCGTCCCCAATCGTTCATGGCTGTGATTGCGGCTTCGAGCTGCTCGCCCCCAACATTGTCGTAGTAGACTGCCGCGATATGTCAGGAGCTTTATTCCTCTCAATAAAAGTATCTTCAAAACCTACTGTCAATACCATCAGGTGCAAGTCTTTTGATGTTTCCCAAAATGTCTCCAGTGCTATGAATGAATCCGCCATCAAACCCAAAAACTTCTGTAAGAAGCTTGAGCTTCTCCTCGCTCCCGACACTCCCAATAACCCTCAGCCCTTCACGGCGGGCAAGCTGTCCCACCATTTGTCCAACTGCTCCGCTGGCTGCAGAGATGAAGATGGTCTCGCCCTTTTTGGGCTTGCCAATCTCGTACAGGGCGGAAAAGGCTGTTAGACCCGGCATGCCCAGGGGACCGAGGAAGAGCTTTAGGTCAAGGTTGTGCGGATTTTCGAGCTTGGCGAATTGTGCAACCAAGCTTTCTGGGATGGAGAGATATTCCTGGATAGGGGCCATGCCAATGACAATATCGTCAGCCTGGAACCCAGCCGTGTCTGACTTGAGGACCTTGCCCAGTAAGCCATTTGGGACCACGCTCCCCACAGCCATTGGCTCGAAACCATCCCTTGCCCTCTCCGGGGCGACCATACGATGTCGAAGATAGGGGTCGAGCGAGGCGTATAGGACTTGGCAGGTAAAGCCTCCTGAGAGTGGTGCCACCTCAAGATCGAAGTCTGTCGAGTATGTCTGAAGATGTCGCCCTGCCTCAGGAAGGCCATCGGGTACTTCGGAGAAAACTAGGCTCTTGTTCTGAACCATGACGTAGGATGAATGCCAATTAGTTAAACTAAACTTGGGACTGTTACCAAGTAGAGGAAGATTAAAGCCTCTTTAATGCAAAGCTCTTTTGGCCAAGAGGCGGATATCCAAGGTTGATACTCTGGGACCGGACTAAGACCAGTCCGCAGTCACTCGGAGCCTCCGGGCCCGGAACAGAATCGTTTTTGTATGGAATGCGCTGTCAGTCCCGAACTATCCAGCGCCAAGGGCGGAGACCAGTTCCATCCCGAGGCCCACGATTGGGTGATACGATGTATGTCTTCTGCACTTAAGTGTGGAATAGTAAACTGGGTCGGGCTTTGAGAGAGGCACGAGAGCACTTTCACTCTTGGGAATTGGAGTTGGGATCTGGTAGCCTTGGACTTAAATTTGAAGGTTCACCTTACGCAGTTGAATACTTGGAAGCCCTTCATCAATTAGTCACAAATATGATCAAAGTCATGCAACGGTCAAGACCTATGATTTGGAGAAGTCGAGAATCAATCTGCTTCCTAACATTGGACTTCACTTTATGTAGAGGTTACACCGAATGGTGTCCCGAATTAATCAGCTGAGAAGGAACAAGAGTCTTGCGAAACGCCTCTCTACTGTCTTTCACGAGACCGATAGAGGCATCGGCTCGTTGCTACTTCATTGGTGATTGCATCTAACTGACACCTGCGTGAGAGATAGTTATCTGTCGAGTAAACGAAAAAAGGAACAGTTTCGCTGGCTGTTGGTATCACTCCCGTTTGTCCTTCCATTTACGCCAACAAACTCAGCGACTAATCCTTCAACTGGTGAAACTTAATAGCCAACCCAGTCCTTTCGTGGTATCCTCGGGGTATTTTATGCTAGAAGAGTGCGTTGGGAAGTTTGGAACAAACATATGAGGCAAGCCAGGGTACAAGTTCACCTTTGTTGGAGTACCGCACTCCTCTCGCAGCACTTTCTCGTAGATCAGAGCTTCGTCCCGGAGCACATCTAACCCGCATACTTGGAAATAAGTGGCCGGGAGACCTTGGTGGCCGCCGGGCCAATTAAAGGGGCTCCATACATGGGATTGGACATCAGCAGCATATGCCTCTGTGTACATATCCATGAAGGCCTTGTTAAGAACTGGTGATTGGGAGTTCTGCTGTCGGCTTTTGTAAAGTTCACTCCATTTCTCGGGAACCGCCTCTGGCGCGAGCAACAAGGGGACATTCAGGTATAGACCAGTGAGAGGTGGCAAGACATGCTCATCCAGAGCAAGGTGGGAGAGTACACTTGCGATGTTACCACCCGCAGATGTACCTCCGAGGATAAAGCCCTTCGATAAATCTGCTTCCAGCTCTTCTGCATGCTTGGTGATCTAAATGTTGGTCCCGTTAGATATAGAAACAGAACGCCTTATCTGTGAGGCATGTACCAACCCATTTGAAAGCATCCCAGCAATCATCCGTCGCAGCAGGAAACTTGGCTTCCGGGGCCAGACGATAGCTGAGGCTGAGTGCAACACAGCCATATGCCTCTACAGCTCGGATGCAGTTCCCAGCTTCCATGTCTGCAGACCCGTAGCAGAAGCCACCCCCATGTATAAGTACAATAAGGGGCTTTGGTGTCTCAGCTTGCTTCGTCGGCTGGTAAAGTAAGGCCCGGGACTGCCTTCCATCCCGCATGGGAATGCTGATCTCACGAGCCTTGACATGGCCGCCTGCAACAGAAAGGGCCTTGTCGGCCATCGCTTTGTAGTTTGGAAGCCATGCTTGACGCGTTCGTATGATGTCCGAAATATCAGTAGTTTTATCAAATGCAGCTGGTCGTTCCTTGATAATCTAACATCATGTTAGTTGGCTCCCACTCTCCTTAGGCAGCAAAGAGAAAATTTAGGCGCGATGACCTTTAGCAACTCAGGATCTGGCTGGCCCCATTCGACCCAAGTCTCGGGGTTTTCAAGAGATGGAGTCATAGTCGGATGTCCGCTATGATATCAGTACAGCGGTAGATGATAGAGAAGAAGACGTAAGGTCCAGCGTCACTTTCCCGACCTATATGCTGTACGACTAGGAGAGGAACAACGAGTGAGTGAACTATTAAAGGGTCTAGAAATAGATTGTAAAAGAAACCCTAGCAATCAACCGATGCCCGCCTGATGCTCGGAACAAGCCACAGATCAATTAATACCCCGATTAGTGCAAGCAAGTGTAGAAATTATTTGGAGGTTGTTCTCAGCCCATCGATTGGGTCGCCGGCGGGGCGGAATCCGGAGAGTCCGGGCCTATCTCTCCCAAAGCGTAACACTCATGCGTAAATCCGAGGCCGAGTTGTACATCAAGATAGGCATGGTCCCTAACTTTTGCCCCATTGAATGGAGTTGACAACGTAGAAGAGTACAGAGAGACCTTCTTGTCACCAGAATATACGAAACATGGCAGCCCAGATCCCCCAGGGTAAGCCTCAACCTTTGCAGCACCCTCTCATCGGCTCTCTTCAGGGAAGGTACGGTAAAGGAGCGATTCAATATCTGGGTGTTCAATATGCGTCTCTTGAGAATCGTCTTGCAGAGCCACAGGTCATGGAATACCCCAAGCGCCTTAATTTAGACACTCGTAAGCATGGGTAAGCTTAATATATCCCAACCCAACATAATCCACGACTGCCCTTTGAAGATAAACTTACTTCGAAAGCTCAGGCCACCAGTCATCACCCCGGCCGGTGCTGCGGATATGGAAATGAGTTTTATTCAGCAACACCTTCCGAAACCAGAACTTCCACCGATGTCGGATACTAAGGGGCTCAACCTCAACATTACTGTTCCGATTGATGGTGGTGAGAACCTTCCGGTCATGGTCTACATTCATGGCGGTGGCTTCGCCTTTGGTTCAAGCGCCTATCCGCACTATGACCAAACGAAAGTTGTTGAACTCTCTGGAATAATGGATCAGCGAGTAGTGGCCGTGAATCTGAAGTAGGCCAACCATGTCCATTTAAACCAGTCAGGGCTATATCTAACTGCTCGGTAGCTACCGCCTTGGAATACCTGGGTTTTTAACCTCAGAAGAGCTTCGTTGGGCCGGTTTCAAGGCTAATAGAGGCCTCATGGATCAAAAAGCAGCTTTGCAATGGGTAAAGAGATATATTTCAGGGTTTGGGGGAGATCCTCAAAGAGTCACTGTGATCGGCCAGAGCGCTGGCGCAGGTAAGCAAGACACAACTATACACAATGGAAACTTTCCATTGATCTGACGCTGGTAATAGCGTCGGTCAACTTCCACATGCATTCTAGGGAACCTCTCTTTCAGAAGGCGGTTTTGGTTGGTGGCTCGTTCCTAATGATGAGACCAGCTACAACTGAAATGGCCGAGGAGCTATATGGTGCTCTGACGAGCCGCCTCGGCTTAGATAAGTTGGCTCCAGAACAGCGAATCAAGGGTTTATTAACTGTAGCAGCGGAGGACCTGATACAGTTTAGTCCAGAGCTGGTCGCCCTAGGACCCGTAATTGACAATGACTCGATTCCATCAATGGCCAGCTTTTCCAACATCGGCCACGATGGGGGGCTGCACCTGCCAGGAAAGACATGGTGCAAGGAACTCTTTCTTATCGAAAGTCAATTTGACGTAAGTATCTGCCAGTTTGCTACAAAGATGCCGTGTTCAAGAAGTGCTAATGCCCTACGGAAGGGTTCGATCTTCGCTCTGGTCAACTTGAATAATAGACAAGACGGCATTAATGCAGCATTTACAAAGTCTATTAGAGAGAGCCTAGGCGATGCTGCAGCTTCCAAACTGCTCGACGCCTACCGGATCTCCCCTGAAACCTCCGACATAGACACGCTTGAGAAAATAATCAGTTTCGTTACTGATGCGAGTTTCTATGCCCCAGCGGTCAAACTGGGGCAGGCCTGGCCCGGACTAAGCTATCTTTGTCACTTCAACGAGCGGAACCCGTGGGACGGAATCTACAAGGGCCGTGCAAACCACCTGCTGGATGTCGCTTATATGTGGGGGAACTACAATCAGAAGTACACCAATCAAAACTGGACGGTTGCGAGAGCCTTGGCTGAGGACATGGTCAGGTTTACGGCCGGAAAAGGTAGCTTGCCATCATTCAACAAGGAGGGGAACGTGGTTACCATTTATGGCCCCAGTGATGATAATATCAGTAGTAAACACTCCACTCTTGGCGCGGAGGATACGGGAAGAAATCATGCCTTTTTCAGGCTCGCAGACGAGGTTGGCGGTTTAGATGCGTGCTTAGATGCAATGGTGAGGTTTCTTCAGGGCTAGGGCCCCGTTGGACCATTTGGAAGGAAATGAATATTAGTTTATTCTTTGATACCAAGTATGCTTCTTAGTTGGATGTGTGCATCAGCTCCTTTCCCAGTCTAGAACGCTCTGATTTCTATTGCACCACAGACGTAGACACTTAGTCTACTTAAGTATGCGAGTTTTTATTCAGTGTGTTGAGGTGTCAGACCTGCTATCTTTCCTTACTGCTTTGACTTTGCAGTCGAACTCTCATGCCTCACGTGGTAAAAAGAGGTTTGTCATTCCAAATAAATAAATGAACTAAGAGAATCGACCTTATGCTACTGTCTAAATGGCCCAGGAAAGATCTTATACTGAGTCGGGGCCCACTTGTCAATTCGGCCAGGTTAGATAAATTAGCTATTTTTCCGTATCCGTAGAAAACGACATGCTTTTCACCCCTTCTTATTTTCGCTTTTGAAAATCCCTTCTTACGAAAGATGCGTCTTTTGCAACCTCACGGCGGCTACGATAGGTCAATTGACTAGCTGTAAACGTGATCCATTTGATCAAATGAGAATACATACAAAACTCAAAACCTCTTTCTTATAGCTGTTGTGAAAGGTTGTTAGATTTTGGTGTGGTTAGCAGTCTGCATTTCAAGCTCGCTAACAGCTGTGGTGTTGTTCGTTTTCCCCCAACACAATACTTGACTTTCCTCCCCCTCAGATCATACAGCTTGGACTTTGATGTCCTGAGGAACCTGCGGCTTACGCATCTGAGTAAACTCGTGGAAGGCTGGCCAGAGCATTTTCCACTGATAGGTCCACAGGTCATAATGATTGTACATGGGTGTGGCACCTGCAGGAGTCTACGAGGAATTAGCTATGCCATGCTTGAGAAGACAGATAATAAGTTTGAGCCTGCCTTGTGATAGGTTGCGCAGTTGCCACTTAGGAACGACGGAGAACCACGGTTGTTCTTGAGCCAGTTGTTGTAGTTGTCCGAGATCTCTTGATTCGGGAATAGTGCGTAGGGCCCTTTTCTGCACTCCTTTTTGATGCGTTTGACCATCTTATAGTGGTAATCAGTCTGAATGTCAACTACCGTCGTAAGATTTGACCAGTAGTTAGTTGAGTTGGGCCCAAGCGTCAAGAACAAGTTTGGGAACTGCGTCACTGCCACACCTGTGCACTTCGTCAGCTCATGTTTCCAAGTATGAGATGGAGAAAAATTACCCCAGTATGTCTTCGGATAATCCCTCCACAATTGTGAAAGATTCTTGCCCTGTAAGCCGAAGATTTCGAAATGACCACCAGAGTCGTTCATGTCAAACCCGGTACCCCATATCAAAACATCGATTGGCCGTTCGATCTCATCCATTGATTCATTCTTCACTGGCACTTTATGCTCATATGAGCCAATCGGTTCTGGGGCCAGGTCATCCGCCCGCAGAGCAACCACAGACTTGGATACTATCCCTCGCTCTGTGATCCGCAGTGGCTTCTCGGTGATGAGCTCAACGTTGGACTCATTGTACATGGAGTACCAGTCATCAAGGAAGAGAACACGCTTGCACGCAAATTCCGTTGTAGGCCGGAGCTTCTCCCGCGTAACGGGGTCTTTCACCTGATCCTCCAGAAAGGTGATGCAAGCATCGTGAAAATCCTGATTCATCTTCGTTCCGCTAATCCACATATCTTTATTCCGATCGAACTATTACTTGATGTTAGTTCGGCCGGATTCATGAGTTCTTATTCTGTGAAAGCTTGTTTACCGAGACAAAGTAAGAGACATGGTATAGCCACAGAAGCGGGTAGCACCATGAGAACAATGTCTTCACCCACGAGGGAAACTCAAAGTTTTGGCGTGGAAGTACATGTCCCGAGCTTCGCTGGTACATGTACAATTTATCGACAACAGGTTGGATTTTGGGGGCTACCTGTGCAGCACTAGGCCCAGTGCCGATGAGAGCCACACGTTTGCCCGTCAGATCAACGTTTTGAGGCCACTCAGACGTGTGCCACTGCTCGCCGCGGAAGATATCACGGCCGGGTATCTTGGCGTACTTTGGACGATGAAAGCCGCCTCCATTGTCGAACAAGACATTTGCGATCCATTTAACCTTCTCCCCAGTCTTTTTGCTCTGAACAAGTATTTCCCAGAGCAGGGTTTCCTCGTTGAACCGGGCCTCATGCACGTAGGTGTTGAAGACCGCATTTCTCGCAAGTTCTCGACGTGACGCATATTTTGAGTAATACTGCTGTATTTCTTTACCTTCAGAGAACTTTTTTGTCCACACTGACGATGTTAGTGAGGCGTTTGATGTTCGATTCTTGTCTTCAGCTTACATGGGTTAAGGAAGGATCGCATCACGTAGGCATGACTTGGGATGTCACAGGCCACGCCCGGGTATTTATTGCTGAGCCAAACGCCGCCAAAATCTTCGCTTCTGTCGATGATGACCAGTTCGTCTCGCTTCAGAGTTCCCGTGCCCAGTAGTTTGTCTGCTAGAGCAATTCCAGTCAATCCAGCGCCCACGATGGCGCAGAAAATTCGCCTCTCAGCCAGTTGTTCGGAGTTCATTGTGTGAACGTTATTTTGGATTGGAGGGTTGAAAATCGAGCTCGCTTGTACTTGTTGAAGGGGGAAATATGTTATTCTGGCCTTTTCCCCTCTGCTTTGGGCAGTTAAGTGACACTGGCTAATGCTGGGAACACTTCTGTCCTGGGACTAACTTTCTTGATGAGACCATCCATTATCTGAATACTATGTATCTGCTTAATCACCATATGATACTTTGATTCGAGACCTCCAAAGTCGTGTGCGGAACCGCGGGTAGCGGAAGGGGATGGAATGTTACAGCGTTCGTCGCTTCGTTATCCGGAGAGCGGAAGCCCGGAATCCGGGTTTCCAACCACCAGCTACCAGGATCTGCTGGCCAACCCCCGTCTCACATGACGAGTCAACAATGTGGATGGAGCTGCGGATTGCACTAGTACGGCTGCACAACCTCTTGCCTTCTTCGAATATTGGTGGCTTGATGGAAGTGGGTTTATGCTGCTACTGGATTTCATCTCACCTAATTCAATAACGCCGGCATGCTCGTGGAAGCTACGTGATTTCTATAACCGAAAAAGATCCCTAAAGCTGGGCAAAAAGGCTGAGATTTGATATGTTGACCGTGTTGTGGTGCTGGATATAATATCAATCGGTTAATTTGCTAGTGTTTGTGTATTCTCTTTTTTTCTTTGCCAGCTGCTACATAACCTGCGAGTACCCCCAAAAGCACCACGATGTAAATATGCATTGACTGGGAGGAAATGGAGTTTCATTTCTATTCCATGAACTACCGAGCTATACTGTTTCAATATCCTCATCGCCTAACTTCTCTTGAAGCAATTGAGAGAACACTATTTTAAAGACCTAACCTAATGCTTCTTGTCGCGACATTCAATAGCTAGAATATTTTTGACAATCCCTACGGCCTACTCCTGAGCAGAATCTTAAATTCTGCATCCGGTGAAACCTGTTCCAAGTTAGACAGTTTCACAACACAAATACTCTAATATGTTGATCGAGAAAACCTACAGTAGCCTCGAATTCAATATTGGCAGGCCGAGCAGCACCATCAGGTACTTTGACATCGTAGTCCAACAGTATTTGGGCAAGAAGGAGTTTGATGTTAACTGCTCCAAGATATCGACCAGGACAAGCGTGGCGTCCAAATCCAAAGGACAGGTCATCCTTCCCCACGCTGTAATACATATGCTTGTTTTCTTCCCCTGGATTCAAACGTTGCTTGTAATATCGGAGTCCATCAAACTGATCTGCGTTCTCGTAGATACTCTTGTCCCTATGGATCGAGCAGGTGTTGACCTCCAACTTGGTGCCTTTGGGAATGAAGGTCCCATCTGGCAGAGTCATGTTTGCTGTTGCTGCGCGCTGAAAGGTAGCTAAAGGGTGTCAGCTTACTACTCTGCGTATCCGGGATGCCAACTAGTTACATAGATCGGGTGCATTGAGGCGCTGGCTCTCCTTGATAAAACTGTCGAGCTTCTTCATGGCGGAGAGAGACTCCTTGGTGAAGTCTCCGTTTGAATCACGCGGAACAGATTCCACCTCCTTACGGAGAAGAGGAATATAACTAGGTTGAGTTGCCAGGTCATAGATCGCCTGCGTAATGGAAGCAAACGTGGTCACGGTTCCCACCGCAACGAGAGTCATCTGGTAGAGCAACTGCTTCTCAATGTCGTTTGCAAGCCATTCATTCTTCCCAGAACTGAGCAGATCCAACATGGTAGGAGGATCCTCCAGATTAGCACCCCTTTCACTTCTCTCACGCATGGATGCGCTGAGTCGCTTACGACCTTTGACCCACTGGTCGTTAATAGCTGCTCGTTCTGGGATAAACCTGTACACAATGGGCCTGAGCCAGGGATGCCATTGCTTCAGCGCCCGGATGCAGTCGAAAACTGATAGAACATAGCCTGTAGACGCTTCAACCCATTCTTGGTCAAGGCTAGCGGCAGTTCCCTGAAATATTCTTGCGTTGTTCGTCCCTACCAGCTGCAGTATCTTGTCATGGACCTGCACAGGTGTCCAGTCTGCAATTCTCTGTAAGCTCAGTCTCCGGGGCTCTGAGTTTCAGTACCAAATACCTTTGTACTTGCCCAAGATCACAGGCACGTTTCTTCGTACCATTTGGTTGAGCAACGGCGTCACAGTCCCTATCGGCCATGTTAATTCTGTCTGTTTCAGAACTGTACCCGAACCTACTTACCAAGAGAAGCAGTCATGTTGCCCTTGATGGCGTGAATAACGTATTCGGGGGGACCACCGAAGTAAGTGTATTCAAGTTGCATGTCCTATTCAAATAAGCATTCACAAGAGCCTATGTGAGACCTATAGAGACGTACATTATCGATTGATGCTTTGAAGCTTAAGCTTGGATGACTTTTCAAGTCGTTAAGAAAGCTTGGAGGAATGACCACTTTGACACCTAACTAGTGTCAACTACTATGTTATGAACAAGGTCGGTATTTAGTGCTTACCATCTTGTGTATTGATGCCGTAAACCTCATCTTTGAACTAAGGGGGAGGGGGGAAACATCTAGATTAGAAAAGGTTCTGAACTGCACGATGCCTTTTGCTAAGTCTCGTACCTGTGCATATCCCTTTTTCATCACTTGTCGCGGGTTGAAAGCATATTCAAGAGCACGCTGCCTTGAACTCCTAATTTCATCTGCGAGCAATATTTTGACCGCGGGCTGTCTCGGAATTTTCCAGAACACGGTGATCGCGGCAAGAACAACTAGGAAAGATGCTACAATGTAGAATCTTTGTGGTTGCTCAGATAGTTCTTGGGCCCAAGCCGTCACGGCATTCTTGATGTTACGAGCGTGAATAGACTCCATTTTCTCCTAATAGTGAGGTTGAACCAGATGAAGAAGATTGCGCTCTCGGGTCATCTAGTCATTACCGTCCAACGTGCCAATGTTGTAATGCACTCTGCGAACTGAGCATCAAGTAATTACTCACCCTGTTCAAAAGGCTACTACTACAAATTCGATGTCAGCCCCTAGGAGCGATAAGGCATCGAAGGTTCGGAGGCCCCGGAGCTCCGAAAACTGCGGCTCCTATTCCGATGGAGGGGCTCCACTGGGTGGTGTTCAAAGAAAGGTGCTGATAGGAATCCGGAGAGGATCATAAAGCTCGAGACTCTAAGCCTCACCGGAAGCCCACTCCGGGTCTTCCGTAGGTTTAAGTGGCAAAAATGTCACTCTCAATCGTATTACCCAGAATGTGGGGGAAATGGAAGAGGAGACGACGACTTAGGTTTCCAGACTTAATTCTTTCCTATGCATATGTATTTCAAATAAAGAACATGATGAAAATACTAATCGCACTCTAACTATAGAGATGTTAGCTCCATTGACTGGCCTATTGGAGAGTCAACCCGCTTCTTGTCTTTATTTGCTGAGATTCAATTATTGGACCATCTCGAATCCTATTTGTTTTCTACCTCTTCCTTCTTCTTGAACGCTCTAGCGGCCAAGAGCCTTAAATCCTCAGTAGCTTTACTATCCAAGAATTCAAACACGTGCTTCACCTTCTCTCCGGTCTCATCCATATCCAAAATAAATATATACTCCCCGTGGAACTTCCACTCTTCCGCGTTGTCATTGTCTTTAACATGGTCGTGGAATTTGGTTTCTGAAACAGCCCACACTGTCACCTGTTTCAGGGATGGGTTGACCCAAGCTTGCTTGATGCTAACAGTGAAGCTCTCCAGAACACCTGCAAGATATTTCAGGTGTGCGGCAAACGTCTCCTTTGTGCGCGTGGGCATATTCAAAGAGGCTGGGCCGAATTGATGAGTATAGTTGTCGCTTTGAATATGGGATATGACGTCTGGATCCAAGGCATTGAAGACCTGGAAATAGGCAGTCGCTGTGGACAGCAAAGTATCGGATGTGGGTGTGTTTGAAGATGCCATCTTGCTCTTGTTGCTTGAGGTATTCTTTGTCACCTTCATGAAGAATCTTGACAGCAGCAAACTTATACTTCTTTCTCTTATCCCCGACATAATACTTAAGGCCCGCCCGCCCTCTAAAATTTTGAGGAAGAGCTCGGGTTTAGGACTTTATCAACACATTAGCTCCGAGATGTCTGCAACTGGGATACTGTCATCGCTGACACAACCGTGGAAGGTTTTATGCAATATGTTGCACCGTTATCGCCTTGGTGGGGAAATTACCAATGTACTAAAATAATACCCGAATTCACCCAATCTTTAGGAAATTCGGTACATCCTTGATTCATGATATGATGTTAATACTATCGTTGAATTATTGAACTAAGTTGGAATTAGAGAAAAGTATCGCTTCTAGCTAATGAGATGCTCGCTATGTCCTTCAAGGCCAAAAGGTCTCTCAAACACCTGGTCTTTCTCTGGGATGTCGGGCGGGCTACAAAAGCAATAGATTAGATGCGGGTTGCGAATCAAATCGCGATGCCCAAGTTGTATCCAATACCCCTTCAAATCTGTGCCTTTGTCAATGCTCCTCCAGTGGCGTTCTGTCAAGTGGCCGTCGTGGACCTGTTCAACAGTGACTTTTCCTTGCTTTAATGCTTCAGCCCTTCTCCCCTGATAAGCCAAGCTGGACAACGCTACTCTGAAATCTCTTAGCTGCGGGCCTAGCTTACCTACCATTGCATCGATTGGCCTCATTATATCCCTGTCTGTGATCTTGACCGACTTTGACACGTCCATGCAAGGCACATAGCCTTCTCCGGGCAATCTTGGTAAGATGTCGCCTTGTAAGGCGAGATAGCAAGACCTAAGGTTCGGGAGGACCCGGGGTAAGACGTCCAAGAATTTATAGAATGTAAGTAGATTGTCGAGGGGTCCAGGTACGCTGTGAGACAGAGTATATGGCTTAAAGAACCATACTAGCTCGACTGATTTGATAATCGACAGACGTTGAGGGAGAATGAGTTCATCCATGTGTAGCATCATCTGTTTACTGGCTGTATGGATTGTATTTGTCCCATATAAAACATCAATGCCTTCGGAATACCTGATATTAAAGAAAGATTAGCTGGGAACAGTTCACCTATGTCGTGGTATTCTTGGGGGGGACCTTACGCCTGGCGGCAGCTCAACAGCCATCCCATTGCCCCGATGCAGCACTTTGATGACACGTCGCTAGACCACCATTGGCACATCCTTGGCCACACTCCTCCAAAGCGGCATCGATCCTCTGCCGCATTGGTATATTGATCCACTTGCTTTCCCTCGAGCTCATCCCTGGTCTTCCACGGATAACGTCTGTGCTACTCAGAACTACGCCATATCCATTCTTTAGGTAAAGACTTGTCGACTCGGAGCTGAGGAACCTCCATGTGGCAATTCTTTCTCTCGTTTAGATTCCTGTTTCCATGATTGGGAAAATTCTCTCTCTCGCCATCGAAATATGCCTCATCTATTGGCAGTTCCGGATGATCGAACGAAAGATCCATGTGAACAATGTGCCCACCAAAAGCCTCCACAAGGACCCTGCGACGGATCTCGAAAGGAAGTCTCCCAAAAAAGGTACATTCGGCCGTGACGTTGCTCGCAGAGAAGCTCAAGTCTTCCCTTGATGCTGAAGGCGTAAGCAGCCTCGGCCTGACTATCGGAAGAGCGGGGACCGGCTCTGCAGTTTCCGGGATATATCGAACAAATTCGTTTGAAGGTCTTTCAGCAAGAGTAGCCCCTTGAAGGTTTATGTTTCTTTCCTGGCCCTCCGATTCAATCCGGGGGTTGGCATTAAGAGAATTGGCCTGGGTTGTCGTATTTGCTCTCTTCTTCCCTCGGCGAGTTCGGCCCAGCCATTTTGCCAAAGATGCAAGCATCGCACTCATATTCCAACGGGCTTGGCAATATTCTTCGTGGATGTCAATGGCGGTAGGGGCGAGTCACAGTAGGGCAACTTCACGCGCGTAATTTGTTAGTCAACTGTGGCTCGCTATTTTCCTTCGTGAAGCAATGAAAATGATTCTGAAAGTGGCCAGATTATTTAGGGGGTGACATGTCTGATGTGACAATAATCAAAGTCCCAGCCGTTGGTCACGTGTACGTGGTAGCATTTAAAGACACCCTCATTTTGCAACATTTGTACTAGAGCACGAAACAGTGAGAAAAAATGTATACTCACAGCCTAGGGTGTATTAAGGATGATAATTTATTTTGATTCTAGTGTTCTCGTACGTTTTCGAGACATAGGGCTTCGCAGCAATTCCACTTCTCCAGACTAGAGACTTGAGCTCAAGAGCGCGGCGGAGCTTTGTTGAATCTTGACGCGTCGCGAGAGTCATTTTTCAGCTCCCACAAGCGATCCGGGGTCTGTCCGGAAATAACCATGCCCAAGACTTCAGTAGTCAGCCCTGTCTCGTTGTCAATGTGTGCCAAGCCAAGCACCCATGCAACAAGAATGCCTTACCCCCTGAAGGGAGCAGGATGCACTACTCGCTGTCATGCCATTATCTCCGGTACCCTGGATTCTAATTGGTCAACACCCGAGATCTGCCTTGGCAATATAATCTCATTTCTCCCGGATCGTCTACTTAGCCAAAGCTCTCCTGCTTTGTGGGGTCCAGGCTGTGGAGAGGACGTCAACCTTACAGTGTACTGCACCTTTAGCGATGGGTAGCCGTTCTTCCATTGATGAAATTGCTCTATGAATGCTAGCTGTGGGCAGTAGACTCTCATGGTCAGATTGATATGGCTACCACTTCAATAAGCTACGATGAGGCGTTGCTTTAGCTATAGTGAGAGTTGGGAGTCATTTCCAAAGCTTCAAGTTAGAATTATGCGAATTTTCTTCATCTCTTTGACGTGTTTCTTCGAAAACCCTGGGGTTAAGGGCTGAATCCGGGATACATCTGTCAATCTACATGATTCGTTGTGCTCAGTTGTCTGGTCTGACATATTCTATTGTTTTTTTTTTCTCATTTTATACTCAAACTCTCATCAAGTCTCATCTGCAAAGATGAGACATACAAGTTGCTCAGGCGGGTGGGGGTTTAAATGCTTCTTTTTTTTTTTGCATTTGTAATTACAACCGTTATTGCATTTTCTATTCCAGGCTACTCCTAGTAACATCCCGAACCAGCTTCGTAACCCAAAGATTGTGAAAGGTGGGAGCGAGAAATCGCCAGGGGGGTTCGGATATCTAGTTCGAGACTATAACAGAAGAACAGCACTTTCATTGGCAGTAAGCGGAAGCAATGATCACTATTTTCGAGCTTAGTGATAAATGCCTTGGTGTAGTTCAAGTATATGAGCCGTGAAGCTAAACTATCCATTGGACCACGACAGCAAGTACCCCCTTCAGATACAACAGCTAGCTTCGCCCAAGAATGCTAGATTATTCCTACCTAAAAGAACCAGATGAACGGGCTCTGTTTTCCTAGAACATGGCCAGGCCAGCAAGCATGACCGCAACGACCAAACCAAAGTTCCCAGCCAGGAGTTGACCAGCAGCACCTGTATCGGTGCTAGTAGAAGAAGCAGAAGCAGAAGCAGAAGAATCGGTCTGAGAGATACTAATGGTAGTCGAAGCCGTCGCTGAGGCCGAGGCAGCAGATGTAGTGCTCGCTGAATCAGTGTCGTTGACAGTCCCGTATTGAGCAAGCCAGACACTCCAAGGGTCAAAAGTAGTACCGGAGCACGATGCCATGCATTCATACATGGTCTTCCAGTCAGCGAGACTATTGATCTTCTTGACGTCTTCGTCGGTGAAATGCCTCACGCCGCACTCTCGGACGCAAGCATAGGAAGTACAGGGGATGCGTTCTGGCAGGAATATCCCACTGCCAGAAGTTTCATATTCTGCCCACTTGGCCTTTCCACCCTGGAAGGTAGCCGTGTTGCTGAAGCGCGTCCCGGATGTGAGGTTTCCATAGGGGTCTGACTCGTATATGAGGACGCTAGCCATGACATTCGCGCCATCAGGAGCTGCATCTGCCGGGATCTTGACCTTGGCGCTCTTGGTTCCGGAGAGACTCCCAAGGTCGGTCGAATTCGCAAGCACGCACGCCTCGCTTGTGGTTTTTTTCTTGTCGGGCAATTCCAATGCCAGGTAGACAGTGAATTTGCTCCAGCGGTCGGAGCCACCCCATTCATTCAGGCCGTCGGTGTCCACTGTAACTGTAAATTCGGTGTCTGCTTTGACCGAGGAGCCAATCCTGACTGTCCTGGCTCGTACATGGTGTGCCCCGATGAGCAGCAAGCTCAGGGCGTTAACGAGCGTAGAGGAGATCATCGCGGGGGACAAATAACGAGTGTCGAAAGTTGGTGGTGGGCTTTTAGGGATCAACGGGTTCAAACGAGTGTCTTCGGAAACAAGCGAGACCTTGACGTAAAGTCTGTCGATCGGAGAAGCAGGGAGCAGGCCGGATATAAATATGCATAAATTTTCCTGGGGATTTCATCGGTTAAAACGGCAGGGACATGTTGCCCGACTCTTGTGGCGAGCGTATAGCCCAGGGATGGGGGCACAGTCAAATTGAGAGCCTTGGCAGCTTGGCAATGGGTCTTCTTACACAAACGCATGGGTTGACTTGCAAGGCTTAGAATGTTAATTGCTGAAATAGGAAAGAAGTGTCCGCATTGGGTGAAAGAAGAAATGAGGCACCAGTTTGAAGGATGGTAATAAGCAGACACCAATGTTAGAGGATATAAGTCGACATACACTCATAGTCTTCAGTGCATTATCTCGGCAGTATTCGTATTATTGGTCCTTAGTTAGTAATCCGGCAATACCGGTCACGAGTTTGAGAACGCACTGATTAATGTTCAAGCGTCTCAACATTCAATGCCACACAATGATCAGTATCGTAACATGGATTTCTATCCACCCCATGTAAGTGGCTATCCAAACCCGTGCGTTCAGACTAGGAAGAATTACTGAGTAGTATAAGCAAACTCTTCGAGACTAATGTGCCAAGCTAGATCGAGCGATTGTTAATGATGGATGACTTGCACTACATCATCAGAAACTCGAAGAACTTGAAAGCATTCATAGACCACAGGTGGGGGAATCGATCACCTGTGAGTAGCCAAGGAAAGCTCATCAAGACTTAGTCAATAGACCTGACTCAATTGGCTATAGAAGTTGGCGGGGTGATTTTGTTTAGTCCAAAAATACAGAGGTCGGTATCAGCATAAGTGACGTTGCTAAGCAGTTTGCAGTAAATGACGAAGAATATGAGGCTCACAAAAATGCAACTACCAGTATTGTTTGTGCATTTCCTACCCTGATGCTTGCTTTTGCTGAGAGACATTGATAACGTATGAGTCGTTGATTTTGCAACACGTGGAGGAAACCAAACCTACGTATGTTCTACACTCCCATCCTCAGATGACCGTCGTCACAAACTTGGCGACTCACTTAAATATTCTTTTGCCGAATAACTTCACCCGTCGAATTTGAGTATAGCACTTCGATCCAAAAATAGTCAAAATAGAGAAACTATCTAATTACCTGAAGTGTACTTTCTTCCATAAAATGTTTCGATGGGATATTTGTTAGGAAAATGAGACGTATCTAAACCATTCTGTATCAACCCTTATAGTACCATGGGACTTGCAGTAAGGGTTTGAAATCTCTGCTAGACACAATAGTATGAAATATCCAATTGAATGTTGACTATTAGAATAGATGGAAACCTGAGACGACTTTCCACAACTATAGGGTAGCCTGATGTTCATTTGTTATACGTGCTGGTGGGAGAAAGCACGCAGGCACGGCGTCAAATGTCGGCTTGAATTAGAAATAATTAACTTCTTAACAAATAAAGTATCGCCAATTGATTCGGCGTTTGGCTATTGTTATGGTTGCGATTGTCAAGCCTAATACTAGGCCCATAGCCTCCATACGGGCTACTTGATCATCAAACAATTTGATACCTACCTAGATAACATGCGGCTTCAAATCTGTTGGAATGGATGTTTTGGCTACCACGTGTAACATCCCGAAATGCTTATTTTACAATTATATTTTGCTATTTTACAGGTAATTCAACAAGCCTCACCACGAGAGATCACATATTGTGGGCATCTGGGGCTGAAACCCCTGAACCAGCGCCTCCCAGTCCAGCGAATCGATATTCAGGTCAATCGGATTCGAGGGCACTCCAGCCATGGGATAGCCAGCCCAGGCGGCAGCACCATTCTCCACTGCTCCGGTCACAGTCGTTGCCACTCTAGTTGGATGTGCTGGTAACGGTGCGTGGTCTCTCCGCCCAGTTGTGACTCCCTCACTCCCGGCTTGATCCATCGTTGGCACAGTCGTAGCAGTAGGAGACTTCGATTGCTCAAGAAGAAGCCTGGCTTTGGCCCGGAGGGCGTACAGGACGGCCTCTTTTGACTTGAACCCCTCAATAGAATCATCACCCATGTCGCTGTCAAACACCTTGTCAATCGTTTTCCAAGCACGCTCAGCAAGGGGGCTGTCTGGCTTCACGCAGAGATGCCAGAGCGCATACAACAGCGCGTGATACTGTGGAAACGCCGGGTGCGACCACCAGTACGGCTTGAGCATCTCGTCCGCCTTGATGGACAGCTTCATGTCCATGATGTCCAGCGACTCGATCAGGTTCTGCTCCGTGGCGAACTGCTCGCGCGACCCGCCCCGCGCGGCGAGGAACGTCCACTGCTGCCGCGTCATGATCTCGATCTTGCTGACGATGAACCGCGCCATGGTCAGCGTCATGCGCTGCCGAGGGATGGCGTGGTTGCACAGCTCTAGGTGCTGCTCGACGTGGTCCGAGAGCTCTTGGCAGATCTGCCGGCGGAGGTTCTCGTCTGGCGGCGAGGACGAGGTCGACTCGGACGCGATGGTGTCGAGCCTGGAGGTCGCGCGAGAGATGTGGATGGCGATGAGGCCGAATGTCATGGGCGTCCAGCCTCTCCGGGGTGGTGGCAGCTCCGTCATCTCTGGGTACAGGTCTACGTCCTCGACGTTGAGCGGCATGGCCACGTTCAGTGTATCCCAGGTATGCGAGGTGGCGACTTGGAGGCCGTGGTCCTCGCCTGCTCGCCCGTCTCTGGATAGCAGATGCCACCATAACCGTCGGCGAATTTCCGATTGGAAGGGAGTTAGGCCGAGGCGTTCACCGTCTCTATGTAGCCCGAGAGATTGCGCTATACGGATGGCCAAGCCGTTCAAAATCCAAAGGGATCGCCCTCGATGTTGGACACGGAGACCGCACTGAAGTTTTAGAGGTAAGCAAAGGTACATCATCAGTAAGATATCAATAACTTACGAGGTAGATCGACAAGGCGAAGAGTGCAGTGATGGAAGGGCGGTCGAGAAAGTCTCCATGTGCAAACGCTTGCTCTAGTCCATGTTTAAAATTGAATAAAGAAGTGACTCTGTCGTCTTCTAGGAACTGCTCAGTCTCGGACTTTTCGAGCGAGACGGTTGCCGTAAAGTATATGGCGTAGCAAAGCGCGAGATTCTCATAAGGTGCATTGCTTGGGTCGCCAATGGTAGTGTACACCTTGACCTCGTCCGTGGGGCCATGGAGGACCTTGTGACCTGTGACATCTTCTACTCTCTCACCATATAGTCTCCATAGCCTGAGGGCTACGTTTTTTGAGGGGTGGAAGCTCGAGACAGGCTGTGATAACGAGGGCGCGGAGAGGATGCCTAAGGGGTTGAATGGTGTCAAGGGAGGAGGTTTTTGGCTTACTGACTGGGGTGTTGTCAGAACACTCCTAACCTCTTGTTCCTATGATTGGTTATCAAGTTAGTCACCGTCCCAGAAGGTGACTGAAAATTGGCCTTTTGGTGTAGGATGGAGCAGGGAATGAACGCACATCTTCAAGAACACGTGAGATGAGAAACTCGTTAAAGTATTGGCTGGAAGACCCCTTCTCAACAACAATGGCTTCTCCCTCTCCGGACCTCCTGCGACGGTGTACTGGTGCCCTCCTGCTAGGGGCCGCCGGACCTATCGGCAGCGAGGCGATAGAAGACGCCGGAGACCGATGTGCCTCCTCGGTCTCAGCTGGTGAAGGCACACTCCCGCCCCGGTGCTGCCCCGCCTGGACTGCCGCTCTGGCATTTGTCAGAGTCTTCTCTAGGCTCTGGATACGCGACGACATGTCAGCCATCAACGTCCGCTTTGTACGCCGAACCCGCGGCCCAGACGGCGGATACACGCATTGCTTGTCCGCGCGGACACAATGCATGCAGGGCTCCTTCTTGTCGCATCGGATCTTCCTACGGTGGCAGAGGATACAAGATCGAGGCCGGGGCCGACTGCTGGACAGGTCTTGGCTGCTGTTACTGAGCGTGTCGGACGACATGGTGGGCTGCTCCGCGTTGGCTGCGGTCGGTGAATCTGCTTTTTCGTCCATATTCCCTGGCTTATTGATCTATTGTAACCCGTCTCGGGGAATAGTAAGGCGCGCCTGGCTTTGGGTGTCTCGGCGAATATAATTGCCCAGTCTCTGTTTTCACTGCTTGCGCCGAGCATCTACGGCCGATATGAACGAGGGTCAATACACCGACCAGCAATGGGACGGCCTCGGTTTTAAAATAACTCGACTGGCCGCTGACCTTGCCCGATGCCGTATGAGATTAGTCATTAGATGCTCTCGGCCTCGGCATTAAAACACCACGAAACCATCCGGCAAAGGCTAAAGTGCCGCGCAGCCGGGATAAAGTGCTGATACAACCCTGGCCCTAGACGAATGATTCATTTCGCCGCGGACCCCGTCGCTCAAAAGGGCCTCCAGTAAGATCAGAACGGGGTGATTTTGTAAGAACAGTCACAAATCTGGCCCCATAAGGTCCAATTTTCTTTTTAACTCCGCGTGTTGGGGCCTGACTGGTTCGGCCTTTTCTCTACTCGGCCTTGTCCTCGCGGTTTCGCGTCTCCAGGGCCACTGGTAAATTAATAATAATGGAAATGAGTTGGGCTTCAGGACGTTTAAATATCCTCTACGTCGCATCTGCTGCGTCCCATCTAAACAAGATCGACCCAAATCGACTCAAATCTTGCATCTTATCAATCCCGGACGGGACGCAGCCGCAGTGAAGCAACCATTCCAGTTCTGGAACACCCTCTCAGATCAGACACTCACGCCAAGTAACCGTAAACATGTCGCAGGCTCAGACTCCGCAGAGGTCGGAGCAGACGCTCACGCCGGCCATGGCCACCGATGACCAGGGAGCCATCTCAAGCGCTCCCCCAAGCTCCAAGGGGTTCGACACAGAAAAGGACGCAGAGAAGGTGGTGGTCACTGGCCCTC